ATAAAGACGTTTAATGATCAGAATTTACTGTAAAACCAGCAGAACTGACGTAAAACGACCCAGACGCGACCTAAACCAGCCTCTGTGTGACCCGTGCAGGTCCGCGGACCCCCCTTTGACCCCCTCTGATGGAGATGGATGCGGAGGCCCAGCCCGCTCTGCTGCGGATTTAACGGAGCTCAGCGGCTCTGCTCGTGCATCAGAACCGGCGGCTAACGGCCCAGATGGATGGTGTTTGGACAGCAAATGGGCCTTTGATGGCTGCCGGCCGCGCGCCGCTTCCCCACGCGGACTAATGGGCCTCGCGCTAATGGCGTCCCTCCATCATGCCGCGTGAAGCGCGAGCGCGCCGGCTGACAATTAGCGCGGCGCGAGCGGCCGTGATGTGTGAGGACCGGTCCGGACCGGAAACCGGCTCGTGGTAGAAAAAGCAGCAGCGATCCGTCCGCGGCTCCTAAACTGATAAATTAGAGCTCGTTTATCGGACAGCGCCGCCGCTCGATACCGGAAGCCTCGGCGGCCTAATTGGCGGGCGGAGGGGGGAGGGGGGGCGTTGGGCGGCGTTTAGCGGCGCCGCGCGGCGGGCGGGGCGGAGACGGCGTGAAAGCGGAGCAGACGAGCTGACAGGCGGCGCGGGCCGGGCCGCTGCAGCTCTATGGATTTTCGTGTCTGTTGTTGGGCTTATTTGCGGCTCCGTTCTCAGTCAATCACGTTTAATTGACAGCGCTGGGCGGCCCGCGGCGGCCGCATGACAGGCCTGAATGCCGCCGCGGCCCCGCGGCTCCTCCTGAAGGATGGAGGCCGCGCTCCGGCCGTCAGCGCCTTAATTGATGTAACGACAGCGATGATGGATACTAATAAATACAACCTTTAAGGAAAAAGCTAATTAGACGGCGGCTCATCAACACCATTCGTCTTGGCCCAGGCCTCGGACCGACACCGGACCGACACCGGGCCGCTTTACATGCAGATCCAACGCTGCGTTCACGTCTGGGCCTCAGAACAACTCCGGCCGGTTCGTCACAAACCTGGACCTGGTTTTTCTTCCTCCGTGTCCTCCTGGTCCTCAGCTGTCGCTCCGGCTGAATAAAAGGATGTGAAGCCTCTGAGGACCAGGAGCTCCTCTGATTGGATGTCAGGACTTCACAATGTTCCCGGATGTAAAACAACCGAAATAAAAAAGGCCATAAAGTCACACAAAGCAACCAGAAATAAAACAAAAGATGTCCAAAATGTGAAGCAAAACCAGTAAAACCAACAAATCTGATGAAAAAACTACCAACAAAAAATGTAAACCGACAAAAATATGAAGCAAAACTTCCACGAAAAGACGTAAAACGACCAAAATG